AGCACAGAGGGTAATAGTGAATGGGGGAACATCAGACTGGTGACCTGTCACTGTGGGGTTCCACAGGGCTCCATCTTAGGCCCTGTGCTCTTCATAAATTACTTGGACACAGGACTGGAAGGAATACTAAGTAAGTTTGCAATTGATACAACATTGGGAGGAGCTGTTGACTCACTTGAAGGCAAGGAGGCCCTGCAGAGAGACCTCGACAGGTTAGAGGACTGGGCAATCACCAACTGTATGAAGTTCAACAAGGGAAAGTGCCGGATTCCGCACCTGGGATGGGGCAACTTTGGATGTACAGACAGGCTGGGGAATGAGATTCTGGAAAGCAGTGCCAGGGAAAGGACCTGGGGGTCCTGGTCGATGGCAAGTTGAACGTGAGTCAGCAGTGCCCTGGCAACCAGGAGGGTCAACCGTGTCCTGGGACGCATCAGGCAAAGCATTGCCAGCTGGTTGAGGGAGGGGATTGTCCTGCTCTGCTCTGCACTAGTGCGGCCTCACCTTGAATTGTGTGCAGTTTTGGACACCACAATATAAGAAAGATATTAAGCTGTTAGAGAGCGTCCAAAGGAGAGCAACGAAGATGGTGAAGGCCTTGAGGGGAAACCGTATGAGGAGCGGCTGAGGTCACTTGGTCTGTTGAGCCTGGAGGAGACCGAGGAGAGACCTCATTGCTGTCTACAACTTCCTCATGAGGGGAAAAAGAGGGGCAGGCACTGATCAGTGACAGAACTCGAGGGAATGACCTGAAGCTGTGTCAGGAGAGGTTTAGTTAGACATTCATCCATGGATAGTTGGGTGCTGGAACAGTCTCCCCAGGGAAGCGGTCACAGCGCCAATCCTGCCAGAGTTCAAGAAGCATTTGGATGATGCTCTCAGGCACATGATGTGATTCTTGGGATGCCCTGTGCAGGGCTAGGAGTTGGAATCTGATGATCCTAGTGGGTCCCTTCCAACTAAGAATATGCAGTGATTCTCTGATTCCATGATACTTATTTCTTTGCAAATATTTCTCCAGAAATGAAGACTAGCAAAGTCCTTATCTACGGTTGTGTGCCATTAAGGTTGTAGTGGCCTGTCTGTCAAGTTCATGGCCCCATTTTGGAAACGCTGGTCACGTCTTCACTAATACCAACCTCCTCTCCAAAGAGAAAGCAATTTAAACAAAGCAGATGGACAAACTGAGGGAGGAAATACAAAAGGGAATTGTTCCTCTGAGGTCGTGTGAAAGGTCCTAGAGAGAGCTAGGAAGGGAACTCAGTTCTCCCAACCCTTAGATCAGAGACTGACAAAGCCCTGTCTATCAAGTGATCCACCAAAACCTCTAGAGAGAACCTTCATCTTCAACTTGGACTTGAAAAGCTGCAAAAAAGGCCCTTCAAAATAAGTATTTGGCAAACAATTTGCATAATGCATTTTTTGGGGGAACATTTTGATCCTCTTGTGGACTGCCAGCAAAGCACATGCAAGTGTACTCATTTACTCATGAGAGACTAAGGAGTTTGGTCCAGTGAGGGTGGGCCTGGCCAGGTTGCTCTGTCTGCATGCTAGGATGACTGAGGTTAGGACTGCTGCATGAAGGACGTGGTTTTACTGAAGGTCAGCACAAAGGAAGAAAGTCTAGTTTATTTGCAGGGTATTTTTAAAGCCCATTTTCCAAAGGAAACAGTGCTTGTTTGGCTATCCATCCTCCCCTCTCCCGGTAGCTCACATCAGTCAGTTTCAACTACATCTGAAAGGGCAGTAGAAGTTTCAAAAACATTAACTTTTTGGCTGTCAGAGTAGATGAAATGATACAGACCAGTGATTTCTAAAGAGGCTCTTAGACATCAGCTTGCCACACCATCATCATGTGTGAACGTGACCTGCCCGCCAGCAGGTATCTAGCTCTAGATTATGCATACTGCCATTGTCTCTTGCATTTTGTGGGGTAAGGATTAATGTAGCGGCTGAGGAGGAGATGTCTGGGGACAAAGGACATCCCTTTTCCCCAGGAACCCCAGGCTTTGTTAACCTTCTTGCTCAGAGGGCAACTTGTTTCCTTTATGTGTGTGAAATGCTGAAGAACAGTTGAGCTTGGCATTTCACTGTAAGCCTATGAGTTCCTGTCTCCTGCAGGAGCTAGTTCCAGTACCCAGGGCCAGCTCCAGGGTAATTTCTGTGTCCCACACATGCTCCTCCCTCCATTGTCTGATGGTGGTCTCAGTCTGCCAGGACACCATTGTCAGCAACAGACAAAGTGGATAATGAGCAGAGAGACAGCTGGGAAGACAGTAAAGGTCTACCAGGAGAGTAAATGAATGATGGACTCAACCACTCAAATAATAACTGGCTGTTTAAAATACCAACTCAAATGAAAACAGGTTGGGCAAGCTTCTGAGAGCACTTGGGCCAACTATACATTGCTTAGGGCATACCGAATACACCGCACACCGTCATTAAGTAAGCACAGGCCATCGGTGTGGTGGGAGAAGCCCTCAATGCCAGGATGTTCACTCGAAGGCATCCGGGTCGTCCAGCCTGTGTCACCACAGGAGCTGTCAGGCACCAGTAAATGAGGACACCCAAGGACCTTCTAGGCGAGAGTTACGTGACTGCATGTCTGAGCCACAGGGACATGTCAGACTGGCCTGGCTACTAGTCCATGAGAGTCTGGGAGTCTGGCTACTATTTCAGGGACCAGGATCGGATCCATGGTTGGAAGCACAAGCTCTCTGCGGTGAAGTGACTGAACCCTGGGGCTGCCTTATGCGTGGCCTTTGCACTCTTCATGTTACCTCATTGTTCAGATAAATGCCCAATTCCCCTTTAAACTTTTAAGCACTTTATAAATTATCAGAGGGCTTTAATCTCTCTTTTCATGAGATAAAGGTTCTTCTAAGCCCCAAACTCTAAGTGAGTGGCTTTGGTTTTGTTTTAAACCTGTCTTTGGAGGAAAGCAGACCCATCAACCTGAGAAATGTGATCTCAGCTAGAGTAGGGTTCAGACGTGCTGTTAGGAATGGGCCCAAGCAAAGGCTTTGGTGGGTTTGTGCTGATGGAGGAATGCATGGACAAAGGATGGAGCAAACAGTGGATACTGATTTATTCATCTCTATACTCCTTTAACGTAATGGCATGGAAGCTGCACAAGCCTGTTGAAGAGTCAGCTTTTGCTGGCCATACTGTCCAATCTGCCCAGAGATGTTTGCATCTCTGGTTAAACTGATCCATAGCTACTAATTTATCAAACACCTTTTGAACATGGCAATCCTGCCTTGAGCATTCACCATGCTCCACTATGAACATCAGACAAGAGAGACTGACCCCAGGAAACTATTTCAGAGTGTGTAGATGAGAATATCTGCACCATCCAAAGGATTCCCCTCATGACAAGGGACAGAAGGATCCCGCAGCACCTGCACGTCCATTCTGAGCAGCTGGTATTTCAAGCAGAATTACACACAGCTGTTCATGAGTGAACTGATGCCTAGGAACCGTCTGTGGGAATTATCTGATGAATAGTTTCATAGAACAAACAGCAGAGAATAAAAGAGAGAGGGGTGAGAGAGTCAGAAAGGGAGATGTCTGAAACAGGGTGAAATGCAGCAGGAAGAGACTACTCTGCAATGAATTATGTGGTGAGGACTCGGCAAAGCTCCCATTTCTATGCCATTTCTCACAGGAAGACATAGGGAATAGCAGTGATTAAAAGATGGGGATGAAGCGTTGGGTGACACTAGCATTAAGTCAGGCTAGGAAGAAGTAGCCCGTGTTGGGGATTTTACATGACACAACAAGGTGGTTGTCACCCTGAATTCAAACTCTGAACAACAGAGGATAAAATCACTAAGATGTCCCAAAGTCAACCCAGTGGCATGCAGAATGTGACACATGTCCTCCAGCATGCCCTGTGTCTTCAGGGAAACCAGTGGGGGATGAAACCACTCCTGTGCCATGAAAGAACTCACACAGAGCATTGCTACACAACAGGACAAAGCTTGCACAGGCAGGAGAGGACTGTTCACAGAGCAAACAGTCATGCTGTCACAGAATTGATCGTGATCCTTATGGGAAACCTAGGAAACATCTTCAAAAGATTAGTAAGGAATTAAAGTACTCTACTTTAATTGAAACCAAGGCTACAGCACCAATACTGGAACAGGCTTCTCAGGGAAGTGGTCATAGCACCAAGCTTGACAGAGTTCAAGAAGTGTTTAGACAATGCTCTGAGGCACATGGTGTGATTCTTGGGGCTGTCCTGTGCAGGACCATGAGTTGGACTTCAGCGATCCTTGTGGCTCTCTTCCACCTCTGAGTGTTCTATGATTCTATGATTCTACTGGTTTTACAATTTTCCCCAGCTGCCGACTCTTCCACTAATCCCTTGCTATTTGCCTCACAAGAACTTTTGCCTGTACTTATTATATGAAAGTGAGCAGTCTCTACTCCTCTCCCTTGTTAATATTTCCTACTGCTGTGGATGCACTAACAACCCCCTTTTCTTCAAAACAGCTAGCTGATTGACACACTGAAGTTAAACTTGGAATACTTGTTTGCAATCTGTACTTAGCTTGAGGTTTGATGTGTCTCTTTCCGACCTAAAGGAGAGCTCAAGCTCCTGACAGCTTGTCTGTCTTCTCCCAGATGCATCAGTTGGTCTAATTAGAAAACCCCACTACTCTTCCTACAAATCTTTCTATGCTAATAAGTGGAAGAGAAGAGGAAAATGCTCCTATTCCATCTCCTACCCCACGGATACCCATTGCTCTAGATCACGATTCTTTTGCCCTCCATCTCCCTTTGCTATATTCATCAGTGTGGCTAGACATAGCTATGGATAAATACTTAAAAGGGCAAGGAAGAAGTATACATGGAAGTCTTGACTAAAATTAAAGAGTGAAGCATTTCTACAAGGCAACAGCATGTGTGATTGTTTTGTGTGTGTGGCATTTGCTATTCCAGCTCACTGGCATGGTCAGAGAAGGAAGAAAGGAGTCAGGACACTTGGGCTCCTCTCATAACTTTGCATATGAATTATTTGCTGTCTGTGGGTAATTCATTTCACATTCAGTGTCTGTTTTCTCCTCTGCAAAAGGAAAAAGTAATAATTATTACCCAGTCTCTCTGGTCTGTTGGGAGGTGAAACTGATACAAAATGCCTAGGGATCCTGATATGAAAGGTACATTAATACTGTGGTTTACTCTGCTTTCTGCTTTCTGGGCTGCTGGTGTGGAAGCTGAATCTGGAAATCTGGACCTCCAAATGCCCTGGAAGATGTAGCTCAGTAGCCCTTGGCAAAAAGGGCCATAGCCTTCCTTTAGCCAGCTTTCCTCTCTAGAGCTGTTGTGGGAGCAGACATTCTTGGGCTATTCTCCCCACTCTGCAACATCTATCCAAAAGCATAATGCCTTAGATAGGAGGCTTCAAAATATTCCCCCAGTTCCTCCCCTGGGTGCAGGATAAAAGAATCAGAGACCCAAACCTCAGAGGCATAATCAATATTGCTTAGGACTAGCTTGGAAACCACAGAGATGAAAGTGTAAGAGCCTACATAGCAATAGAGGTTAAAAATATTGTCAAACTTTACCAGTGAGGATGTGATGGAATTAGGGTTTTCTTTGCATCTAGGATTTACCTCCTGGTGCATAAGGAGATCAGATACTATGGAAATACCATCATGTTACATTTTTTCTGTGTGTTTTTCTTATTTGCATTGATCTCAGTGTTGGTGAATATGAATTTGGCTTCTCTAGGGAAGGAAACCAGACCTGCTTGTGATACACAATCTCGGTGCATGGCAGAAATCAAAAGGTGTGTAAAAGTGAATGAAGTTAGGGTAGACTTGGCAAGTGTTTTCAGGTAATGTTTGGAAACTGGGACTGGGTAATTCAGCAAGATTTTACAAGGCAAATGCATATGTTCTTTAGAGAAAGTAAAATTTCCATCAACATGCCCCACCCCAAACACATTGACATAGAGACGTGCAGATATCTGGTGTAGGGCCATTTTGGTTCAACACTTGAGAGCTATGTGTGTACATACTGTATACTCACCTGGGGCAGAAAATTTGCAGCATGGAGCTGCCAACTCTGCCAAGTCTGTTATGTGTGAGTATCAAGCTCATAACTGAATCAAAATTTGGGATATTTTTCTTGGGGACAGCAGAGGCCTATTCTTGGCAGCTAGGCACTTCCCTTGCCTAATTTCAAGTTCTTTCTTTAAGCTGTAAATTCTCAGTTAACAAGTTGTGTTGATTTTTTTTTAGCATGGACAAAATAACCTCTTTTTCTTCTGGTACTCTGAAAATGGTCAAAATCCCTAAATATGTGTAGGTCTTTTTTGCTGGGTTTGGTTTTTTTATCTCTTCTTTTTCTTGTAACAAGCTAAGGCAGATGCCTGGCCTGGAAAATGTCAACTCAAGTGGTGAAAGTGGCAAGTTACAAGCAAATGAAGCCAGAGTTGTCAGAGACAAGTAAAATAGGTGCTAGTTCTTACATTCTCTGGAATGGAGCAGACCAGCCCAGAGCAAGACACAGTCACTGCCACGTCCTGGGGAAAACACTGGGGTTGCTTTCCTCTGTGGAGACCTCTTTTCTCTCACTACTACCACATTTCCTTTGCCTGCATCCTGCAACATTTGCAGTTCCTTGCATGCCCTGTGACTCCAGGAGCACTGTTCCCTGGCAGCCCCTGATGTGGATCAAGGGCTTCTTCACCATCTCAAAAGAATGCTTCTCCTTTCCACTCCTTTCCTAGGGTGAACCTGGTCCCAGAGTGGTGAGCAGGGTGTTTCCTCCTGGTGCTGCTTAAAGCTAGCAAGCAGCTCTGGGTGATGGGCTGGTTTCTTTTTGCCAATCTCATCTCATTGGGAAGGGCCACAGACTAGGCCTGCAGGAAACTGTGATTCATTCTGTCTACAGCTTTTTTAATGAGACCATTTCCATTGTCTATGAGTGCCAAGTAGGAGAGCACGTCTGCATCAGAGGCTCTGCTTGGGCACAGGCTGAGAGTACGTGTACGTGTGTCTGTGTACTCTTGGGCTGTTAAGAGGGCTGGGGCATTATGATCTGGGGTACAGACCAATGGTACACTCTGGCCTTGCTGGCTCTGAGCACTGCATGCAGCAGTGCTTGTACATGGGATGAAATGCTGCCACCCACCTCGCTGCTTCCAGGAGGTGAGGAGTGAGTGGTGGGGCTGGGACCTCCCCGTGGGTGCAGTCTGGCACCCAGGGAGAGTGCAGAGGATAGGTCAGCGCCTCTGTATTTCTGGGCAAGCAGCTCCTGAGGAGCAAGTAATTAAGTAACAGCTATGACTGCAGCTGACTGGTGTAGAAAAGGCTGATGTTCACAAGGAGGGAGTGATGAAGCAAGTCATCAGAGCAGCAGGAAGCAGCTGGCAGGCAGGTGAGCATCTGTGCAGTCTGATAAGTGCATTGCAGTTGCCTTTCCACATAAGGACTCCAGAAGTGGGATGGCCAGATGTGTATAAATCCACAAGAGATCAGGCACTGAATTGCCAGTGGTGCCTATGGGGGTGACAACCCCCATCTGTATTAGCAATGTGCCACACATACTTTTTGGCATAGCACCAGGCTTTCAACTGCACGGTGCTCTGTCAGCAGCACATCCATGTGCAGCTCTGACTTGGGCAATATGAGATCTGACAAGAGAGAAGGGATACACAGTGGGGATCTTCTGTTTTCTGCCCAGTACCTAGAAGGGTTTTGCATTCCCAAGTTTTTGGTTTCCCCTTTGCCTCAGTTCGTTTTATACACTGAGATAGTATTAATACCTGCATGGCAGTCTTATTTTTCATTGTTCATAGCCTACCTGTGCTCCTGAACTTCAAATATCTCTACTAAAGCTCACATAATTTCTCTGACAGCATAGCCATGGAGGGGAGCCCTCCAAAAATTTCAAGCCTCCCTGTGTTGTGTTGGTAGAGGTTGAGGACATTTTCATCTCTACTTATCTATGCACAGAGCAGTGTCCCTGATGAAAGAGACATGCGTTCACTTTGACATATGCAGCAAAAACAGGTTAAGGTGGAAAGTGCTTGGAATGAGAGATCCTGCTCTCATGGAGCCTCTCCAGCCTTAGGAGGCTTTGGGAGAGTTGTTTATAGTATTACAAGGTCCAGGGGGTTGCTGCTAAGTGGGCAGATGAAGAGTCAGGAGCTCCCAACTCAGCATGCATGTGGGCATCCAGTCAGGCTAATGCGTGTGTTACCAGGCTGTCTTTTCTGTCTGTATACCTCCCTTGATATCTATCCATTTTTTTCCCAGCTCTGCACCTCTGTTGCCAAACCTTTCTCTTTGGACACCAGGGGATATCTTCCTGTTCCCTTTACCGTCTCATCTCCACCATGCCATCTGTATTGTCTCCAGCAAAGAAAGAAGAAAACTAGTGTACATCTTTCCTGCTCCTCCTGGTACCCTCTTGGCACACAAACTACCCCAGGTCATCTCCTGCTGCATGCAAACCCCCACCTCTCCCACCCCAGTCTCTGCTTTCCTCTTTTAGTCCCATGCCCCTTCCCAGGGATTCAAGCAGCCTTCCCTCCTTGGAGACAATCAGAAAATGGGCCAGAAGTCATGGATGTGTTTCAAAACCACCTGGTAATTCCTGGTAATTCCTTTGAAGTCTTGCAGGAGCTTCCAAAGAGTCAGGTCTTTCCATTCTCGTTAGGATTATACACTTAGCACACAATTACTAGGCTGTCCAGAATGCTTGTCAAAGTCTGGAGTTGGAAAAAGCAGAGTAAGACTTTGGGGAAAAAAAAAAAAATTAAAAAAATGCCTAGACTGAGTAGCCTAGAGGCTCTGCTCCTAACAGCTAATGTTACTGTATAGCTTGGCTCTGTCAGACTTTGCCAGCTTGCTTGCCACAGGCTCCTCTTCTCAGCATAGGAGCCAAATCAGATGGAGATGCTACTGTAACTCTATTCCTTCTGACCTAGGGTCTTCACAGTTTGCTCTGGCAGTGGTTTTTAGTTGGACACACATGTATATGTAGTGTCAGGGGATTTTTCCTCCTCCTGTGATATTTTTTCCTTCTGATGCCTTGCATGATACAGATTTGACCCTCCCTCTTGTTTTTGGTGGTGGACCCTTGACCCTGTATGCACTACTCTAGGTGGCACAGTAAATTAGTACATGTGTCTCCTTGCTCCTAGCTTCCAGTGACCGCTGAGTGAAAATGCAACCTCTTGATTTCTAGTCTGAGGGATTTACTTGGATATTGCTATAAGGGTCAAAACAATAAAATGAGAAAAGGAGAGCTGGAAAAGAAGAACCCTCCTCCCTTGGGCAATCCTGGAGGAGGTCAAACCATGTTTGGCTGTAAACCATAAGCTCTTATAGTCAGGCTGAGACAGTATACACTGTTCTGCATGCTCATCTGCATCGATCAGCTCTGTGATTTCATGTTAGGAGGCGGTCGGGCACCTTGGAAAGAGCCTGGCCTACCTCATCCAGCATGGCTTGCAGCATTGAAAAGTCTCCAGCAACAGTTCCGCTGCCGGCACAGGGGAGGTGGTGCAGGCATGTGTACTTTGGAGAGGGAGAAGCATGGTGCCTCAGGGGCCAAGGAACGTGCCCATGGCACAGACAACCTCCTCCTCCATAAGCAGCACCAGGAGTGGGCACGTTGTGCACGCAACCGCCAAAGCTGCTGCTGGGCACAGGGCGGGTTCACACCCAAAACTCTTTGTTTTTGCAACACAAAGGTGGAGACAGAGCGTCAGGGAAGGGGAAGTCCTACTTGCTCTTCCCTCCTGGTGAGAGGTCCTGCATCCACACTGCTGCATGTCTGGGACTGCCAGCAGCAGCAGCAGTGCTGCCAGCCAGATTTTCAGCACCACTTCTGCTGCCCCTCACAGGATGGGATTTGTTATTGTCCTCAGTGGAAGCTGAGCACCATTAAAAATTCAGCTATTTCAGGCTAAGCTGGCCTTTATTATTGCCAGCCTCACAGTGAAATTGAGACATGTAGAGGTATGAGGTGTTTTTTTTAAAGGAATATTTCTGTACTAGGAAGCATAGCTAGTGTTATACCAGTACTGAAGTGCTATTACTAATTCATCTCAATCTGCCAAAGTAGGTAGGACTGCAGTCATTTAGGAATGGAGATGTGTGCTCAGTCCTGGCAGACCACTAGGTTCCCCTGATCTCTTACCAGGTGCCAGTACCCAGAGACCAGAGCACAGATGCTCAGGAGAACTTCAGTGCAAGAGTTAGGCTTTTCTGAGTGTACCCAACACTCCTGAGTTTCCCACTTAGATTAAGTGAGCTGCATGGGCAGATTCTGGCATGAAGGGGGCAAGTGGTGCAAGCAAGTGGGAGGCTGTAAGTAGCGGGCAACGAAACCTGGATGTCTGGGAGGATGCAGGGAGGAGGCACTTGGAGCAGCTTTGCTCTTGCTGCTGGAAGTGTTGGCAATAGTTCTGGTCCCAGCCTGTGGAAACGGGCAAACCCCTCTGGCAAGTGAACTCCGTGCTAAAGAGAGGCACAGATGAGCACTTGCAATCAGTTGAGTGGTGTGCATGAAAACTGCCAGACAAATGCGAACTTGCCCTCCTCTGCCAGGCAGTTATAGTGTACCTCATCATGATCCTTTGCAAACAGGGGTGCAGCAGGATCGTGGGCAGGGCACTCAGATCTAAGGGTTGATGCCAAACTCAGCAGATAAGCATATGAATGAGGAACCATCCAGAGGAGGAGTGCAATAGGAGAGCAGAAGAACAAGAAGGAGACAACATGCTCTGTGGATGCCTGCCCTGAAGAGCCTGCTTCACTGTCAAGTCTGGGAACAAAACTTTGGTGTGTTTGACACAGGAATTTTCACCAGTTTTTTACAGTGCTACTTGAATATAAGGAAAACATTTTCTGCTCTCTCTGCAAAGGTCATGGAATGACTTGCTGTCAACCCTGTGCTGTCTCTGGCTGGGATCAGGCAGGAAAGCGTGAGTGGCTGAGAGCAGCCGGGCCGGGGAAACAGAGGAGCCAAGGTTTGCTGCTGGGTCTCGCACAGTGCAGAAGACAAGTCTTCTCCCCTTCCCACCCCCACACCCGCCTCCTTTCTCTGATGAACAGAGCAGTGGGAATGGGCTTAAAGCCTATGTCAGCCCTGCCTTGATCTCCATGTGCACTCCACATCTCTTGTGACTTTGTCAACACAGCAGGCCAGACGCTGTCTCTGTCGACAGGGCTGCCTCCTGGGCAGCTGAGCAGAACAGAGTGGAGGTGAGAAATTCCCTCTGGGAGAGATAAGCAGAGCTCTCCTTCATCTCCCTTTCTCTGCTTATCCCCTCCTGCAGCTGCTAATGCATGACAGGGAAGAGCTCTGGGGACAAAAGCGGGTATGGTGTGGAAGGAAGGAAGGAAGGAAGGAAGGAAGGAAGGAAGGATGGAAGGAATTTAAAGAGCAGCTGAACTTGCTTCTCTCACTATGGTGGAGGTTGCTTTTGACCTGAGGCAGTAGCTTGGGGTTGATGAAGGAATTTAGCACTTAACTAGTTAGAGAGCTCTGACACTATGCACCAAGGCATGACAGCACTTCAGCACCTCCCTTTAGGCATTCACTATGTGAACTCACTTTGCCCTGGCCCCATAGTACCTGGTTTCCTTCCACTGCAAAGGTTCCCATGTGGTCAAATCAGGACAGGGAATGGGATGCAGTCTCTAGAAACCTTTCCACAGTAGGTACATGCTGGCATGACAGTGAGGCTGCCTTTGAGGCCACTCCTTGAGAGTCTTGCTCCTTGCCTGGAGCAACTACTACATACAGTCCATTGCTCCTGTCTGTGATCCAAGTCCTCTTTGTGACAACATGATGGAGGTGCCAGTCAGGAGTGTGGGCTTGAGCTCCAGCACTTTCAACATTTGCAGTCCTGGTTTCAGTGCTTGGAAATGCTGATCAAGAGGGCATGCAAAGACTTTCATCAGTATGGCCCTTTAGCAGCCTGAACAAAGGAGCAGAGTTTCAAAGGGCAGTTCTCTGGGTGGGTCTAAATCAGCACTGCTCCACTTTGTCACCAGGCCCAACCTTCAGCGAGCCAATGTGGCCCAGCAGCATCCTGTGAGCACCAGCAACGAGATGAGTGTGAGGTCTCCCCAGCTGGGGCGGGCAGGGTCTGGGACCCCAGGAGGGGGGGAGATCATTCCTCATTGCCCCTGTAGGACGTTACCTGCGTCACGAAAGACGTCAGCTCCAAAACCGCTGATAGGAGTAGGGATATTTCTGCATGGAGGAGTGTGAAGGAGGGAGATACTGAAGAATATACAGACTCAGCAACCCTCCTACCCCCAGGTCTCCATCTGGAGCCCAGGGCTGTGTGCAGGGATCAGGGAGCTGGCTTTACAGCACTCATTAAGTGGAGATGGTAGAAACACTGGAAAAAGACAGGAAGGGATAGTGTTGGGTTGTGGCCTTCCAAAGTGGTGGGAGAGTGGGTAAGCTGCTTGGAGACAAGTCCACCTGGAGGCAAAGCCCTCCTGTGTAGCTGGGACTGCTGGTTTGACCCTTGAGGACCTCACCTACCTGAGGCTTATTTATGACTTCTGAAATGGTTGCACCTTTCCTAGAGGAGTGCAGGAGGGGAACAGTATTTGTCACACTCAGTGTGAAAAGTGCTAGTGACAATAATAAAACCATACTTAAGCATGGACTCAATCCCATTTTAATTGCCCCTGAGGTCCTATCTTATGGACTAGCCATGCAGTTAAAGACTTCTCTCCTACCAGCTAATTCATCTGTACTGGACCCTTGGGCAATCTCTCATAGGTGTTATTTTAAATATGCAAGTGCAAATGATCCCTACTGCTTGCCACCTGAGGTCACTGAAATTGCAGCAATATCTTTGTGTGCTGTGTCCCCTCAGGGAAAACGACCAACTTGAGATTGCCCACCATGAAAAGTGCCATCTTTCCAACTCCATCAAAGGGGAGAGAGCTTGATATTCAAGGCTTTGGTTTAGTCATAGCTGCCTCTATTTTGCAGGCAAATATCACGCAGGCCTCTGAGTGCTTTCTAATGAGGTCAATTCCTTCAGGGGTGAAAGGAGACTGGGTGCCTTCCAAGCTGAGATGCTAATGGTAGTAAGCATATGGTGTATGTGTGTAAATTATAACCCAACTACGTGCTAACATGCCAGCACCTTCCTGGCCCTGTTTTCTGGAGTCTCCCTGCTGCCCCACGGGTGAAGAGCTCCATTCATCCTGTAGGCCACCCAGCTCTCCTACAGAGAAACACTGAATTTTTAAGTGATGGATTTAAAGCTATCGAAAGGAAGCAGGATTAGCAGGGCGAGAGACCTTTCAACCAGTTATCTGTGCTTGGTCTCAATGCTGTGAATCACTGGCACTCCCCAGGCACTTCCCTCTGTGCCTCATACAGGGAGCTCTGTCCTGCCGCACAGGGACTATCACTGCTCTCCCCACACTGGCCCTGGCTTCTGTCCCCACCAACTGTGGCAGGACAGGAGTGAGCTGCAACACACTCAGTTTTCCTTTCCACCCCATGCTGGTGCTGGAGGATGCTCTCCCTCAGACTGGATTTCCTCCTCTCCCCTGTCTGCAAATCCTACAGCTGGAGACTGTCATTTCTGCCCTGAAGGTCACTGAGCTGGGGGAGTGAGAGGGTGCGGGAGCCCAGCACACAGAGGGCACATTTCCCTCTCAAGGCCTCCTCTGGTCCCTTGGCCCCAGCCCCGACTGGCTCCAGACCCAGTTACTTGCTGGCAGTTCTGCTGAAGACCTCTGCCTTCTTCTGCTCTTACCTGCCTGGACTCCGCCCCTGCATCTCTCTGCCCTGCTCCCTGTGTTGTCCCAATTCCTTGGTCTCTTGCAGAGCCCTACAAGGTGGTAACTGTGCCATGTTTTTTGGAGCCTGAGCCAAGAATCAGGCCTGCAGTGTAAGAGACTTTCTGCTGGGCCTCCTCTCCCATCACAGCATTGCTGGAGGGTGCAGAAGCTCATTTAGAAAGTGATGGCATTGCTTGGGTGCTGAGGGAAAGCATTTTGCAGCCAGAATGGCCCCCAGTCAGACAGGTCTTCTAGGATTTGGTGTGACTCCCATGGCCAAGGCTGGGAAGGAGTGCCTTGCCAGTGGTGCACACTGTCAGCCCGTGGCTGTTTTACTCCCCAGGTGTAAAGCTCCCGACTTGTTTTATTTTTCAATAAACACCTTCATTAAGGCTGTTTCTTATATGACAAAGGGGAGAGAAGATGAGGGTACATGGAGGGGGAAGTCCAACCTGCCCAGGCTAAGGCATGGGGTTTGCTGAGTGGCAGGCTAGGCTGGACAGTCAGGCTGCAGCCCCCAGTGCTATCAGGAGCTGGGGCTGGGAGCGGGGAGGAGGAGAAGACCCCTGTGCCAGGCCTGCTTGCCCCAGAGGTGTGGGTTGTCTGGAGGCTTCCAGGGAGCCCTTATTTCTACTGGTGGCCCTGCTCACATACCTCTTGTAGCATCCACCATGCTGAGTGGCACTGATAAGGATCTGTGGGGGAAAGGGGGCTGGGAGAGATCTGCTTTACAGCTCCCCAGCTCCCCAGGCGCCTCCTGTCACTATGGATCCTGCCAGCCCAGCCAGGCCCATGTCTGTAGGGACAGGGCTTTCCTGGGAGAGGGTGTTTGTGTTGCAGGGGGAGCCCGTGCCCTTGACAAGGGTCACATTGCTTCTTAATTTCTTGCTGGAAGTGCATCTGGAAAGTTTAGTCAATTACTGGCTGGAAGACTCCCTCACAAGACCATGGTATTTACGAGTTCCCCCAGCCTGGGGGGTGCCGACCGCAATTAGAGGAGACGAGGGAGTGAAAGTTGCCTGTGGTGAACTCCGGGACAGTGGAGCTGTGGAACAACCCGCTGGCCACTGCTGTAGGGGCAGCAGCTCCTGGGGTGATCTGGGAATGGGTGACAGACCTGAGGACTGGAGGGAGAAAGGCGGTAGCAGAAAGTTTGTTGTGGGGAGGAGGTGAGGAGGATGGAACAGGATGGAAGGAGCAAATAGGAGGATTGTGCACACATATCCTGACTCCTTTGCTGTGTCTGAGACCCCAGTATGTAATCTGATATAACAGATGTTAGATTTGTGCCTATGTGGAGTCCTTTTGGGCCCCACAGAGGGGCTTCAAAACATGCTTCACTGTCATACATATCCTTTAAATGCTGTGTGTTGATGAGGCAGCATTAAGGGGTCATCAGCCTTGTCCATTCCCAACAATTTTTTGCCTCCATAACCCCATTAATTAAGGCAAGGAAAAGTCATCCTGTCTCTCACATTGATACAGTTTTGCTGGCAAGAGTCTTAAGACAATGCACTGTACTGCTGGCAGAAAATTCATCCAGGATAAGCCACCCTGGCACGTGCAGACTTTTTGTCAGTGGAAGCTGAGTCTCTGCTGGGAGGGTTTTCCTAGCTGGCAATGAGAACGAGCTGCCCTGTATGGTGGCAGGTGAAGAAGCTTGTGGTCAGCAAAGGACCAACTGGAGGACCATTTTATTTGTCCCCTTGTCTCCACAGGCCCCATCTCATCAGTGATCTTTTTCATGGGCCACCAAGGTGAGACCAGAGTTACTCCTTGCTAGACTTGCCCCATGTCTCATGCACTGCATTAGCTACCAGGGTGGTTGCACTGCTTGAAGACACGCACCCATCCATGGAGCCAGAGGGCTTGTCCTCACCAGTGTGTCAGTGTGAGAGTAGGTACATGCATACAGTAATTGAAGAGATCAAGGCTGAGTGCGCCCAACAGACCGACAAAGCCAATTACCCCTCAGGAATTTCTGCTCCTCAGGCTCGGATGGTGATTACAAAACCTTTGCCATTAAAAATTAGCCAAGGGAGAAACTTGTTGCCAGAGTTCAGCAGAAATTTCCCATGCCCATCTGATACAAAGAGTGACCACAAAGTGTGCAACTGCCAAACCATGGACATCACCTTTTCGCAGGCTTGACATTCCCTGTGCTTTAGGAGATGGGTAGCATGACACATAGATGCATTTATATCCACAGGAACAGAGCATGTGTCCACATATGCTGGCACACACAGCACATAAACTGTAAAGCTGCAGTAACAAGAGGTTGGGAAACCCACAGTGATTGCGCTGACAGCTTCCATTTCTGGCTGTGTGCTCTGGGCCCAGCTGCAAGGTCTCAGGGTGGAGGTGGTGGAGGCATGAGTGGCTGCAATAAGGGCCGAGGGAAGGGGCCCTGCTGCTGAGATCCTGTGAGTGAGATCCTGTGAGAGTGAAAGGAAAGACACGTCCTGCCCCCACCTTGTGCAGGTGGCAACAGGATCACTGGGCGTATGGGGTGAAGGGAATGAGAGTGGGAAGGCTACAGTTGGACCAGTACTACAAGCCTGGCTGTCCTGTTCCTCTTTTGGAGTCTTTCTGCCTCCCTGGCCTCCCTGCTTAGTGTGGGTGTTCACTGCAGAGTTAATAAGATTATAACTCCAGTGTTGCTGGTAACTTATGTCTTATCCACACCCACATCCCTATAAATCAGAGACGCTTTTTGACTTGAGCTGGCTGGCCAGCCAAGGAGATGGGCTAGAGTACAACCCCAAGGCTGCTGACATAACTGTTCTGCAATGCGGGTGCAGCTAGCCCCTCTCCCATGCTGCTATGTGCTCCAGGAGTTCCCTTCCCTTCCCTGGGTCAGACTGATGTTTCTCCTCCCAGTCCTTTGGGAAAGGGTTTGTAG